CCCATTTTCCCAGTACCTCACCACAAATATGACGTGTATGCATTCATCTTAGGGAGAAAATGGGGGTAGCAGTGCAAGCTTTATTTTGTTGCTGTTTTTTTTTTTCCCCTGTCCTTGCCCGAACACAACACACCCTCATTTTTACTGTACCTGACCGGAAATATGGCTTCGGTACGTTCCTTCTGAGGGTCCGTGATGTTCGAGGGAAGATGGTATGGACGTCATACACAGACACAGAAAAGGGAAAAGAAAGAAAGAAAAAAAGAACGAAAGAAAGAAAGAAAGAGAGAGAAAAAAAAAAAAAAAAAAAAAGAGAGAGAGAGAGAGAGAGAGAGAGAGAGAGAGAGAGAGAGAGAGAGAGAGAGAGAGTATGGGAGTTGCAGCGCTATTTTTTTTGTTCCTTTTGAGTGAACCTTATTCCCGCAACTATGTCTTCCCTGGAGCACCACAAATATGACTTGTATACATTCATATTTAATTGAGGGAAAAAATGGGGGTAGCAGCGCAAGCTTTTTTTTTATTGCTGTTGACTCTAAATCTTTGTGTTTAACCACTATCTTCCCCGAAACACAACGCACCCTCATTTTGACTGTACCTGACCGTAAATATGGCTTTGTACTTTCCTTCTCAGGGTACGGATGTTCTAGGGAAGATGATGTCATACACACAGAGACACAGAAAAAGAAAGAACGTGTGTGTGTGTGTGTGTGTGTGTGTGTGTGTGTGTGTGTGTGTGTGTGTGTGTGTGTGCGTGCGTGCGATGCACCGGTGGAACCCCTCGACCGGTTTCGCCCACGCCACCAACGTAGGTCTCCTCGGGAGGGTGAACTCTGATGAGTTTGCGTGCCCGAAAAAGAGGAAGCGAAGGCCTTGCTTCCTCGTATAAATATCATTCGTAATGCTACCGCTCACGAGTCAGCAGGCAGCTCGTAACAGCCAGAGTCAAGAAACCATGGAATCCAAGAGAATTGGTCATCCGAACAGTCAACTCCTCAGCTTAGCGTCTACGAATACTTGCCTATAAATATCATTTCCGAACCCGGCTAGTCTAGTGGCCCGGGCTACCCCAATGAGTCGCTTTTCTCGTACCCGGCAAGCCTAGTGGTCCGGGATCTTCCCTACAACTTGCCTTCATTGTACCCGGCTTGCCTAGTGGTCCGGGTTCAGAGGTCTACCATTTCTAGCACACAGCGTGCCTGGAGATCTGGTGCTTACTAACTATTCCGGGAGGCCTGTATTTCCCCCAAGACTCCAAGAGGCTACGAAACGACACATGCAACATCCATCCACAAAATACCCAAAACCCTGGGTCCTGTCTATATACGTCCGCCCAATCCAAAAAACCAAAATAACGACCAAGGGATTAAATCACCAGACTCAAAATAATCCGACCGAAAACCTCCAAAACAGGGTAACAACGTATGATATAGAGGATTGTCGGGCCAAAGCCCGATTTCCGCTCTGAGCGCCTAGCCCACATATGCCCCCCCCCCCCGTGTTCCTATCAGGGATCTCAGTGCGTCCAACATCCTCCTTGGCGCCTGATTATCCGCAGCCTTGGCTAAAACAGTCAGGGCACCGAGAGAGACCTCCGGGGAATATCCCCGGAGGTTTGCTTCGAATACGGCACATGCTATGGTACCCAAAACCAATGTCTTGCTTGTAGACTGTTCCCACAGCCTCCGGATCGTTGCAGTCAGTACAACCTTCTTCACTCTCTTCTCCGAGTAAGAAGTAAAGTCCTGCATTGTCTGGAAAACCAGACAACCTCGTTCCGTCAGAGGTTCGGTATTCTTCGTCAGTGGTACGTAGTGTAGACTCAGCGTCTCACCACAGAGGAAGATCGAGCCTCCCACGAACTGACACGTCAGTCCACAATCATCTTTCCGTACGACTTCAAGGTTCTCGTCGTAAATCTTCTCAAAACAATCAAACAGCTTTGCTGGAAAAAGCTCGTCATGTTTCGAATGGTTAAATCCGATCACAATCGAAATGTCGTCCATAATACGCCATCCGTGAATCCACCTTTTGTCTGCTCCCAACTGTTTCAGAAAACGGAATTATGCCATGGCGCATGTGATTGAGGTCAGAACAGGGCTCGTGGATTTCCCCATCAGGATTCCAAAGATTTGCTTCATTTTCTTCCTCCCGCACCGAATTGCCGAGTGCTCGAGATCAAATCGGACACCTCGGAGCAAGTCCTGGAGTGTGAAGCTGACATAACCTTCGCTCTTCTTCCGCGCGTTGCTGATGACACAGGCCTTTGCTCGGTATGAAACTTTCACTGACTTACAGCCGCTGTCTTCAAAAATGCATAGTAACTGCTCTACCGCCTGGATCACGGCTTCATGTGGAATCCTTGAAAACATCTCTTTAATGTCGTAACATCTTCCCACTATATGCGAGCAACCAGCTGCCTTCATTCTTCGAGTTGCTGATTCCATTCCTTCGCACAGATCAACGATCGAATTGAGGTAAAATGAACTCCGTGCCGGGAGCCTCAAAAGTAGATAGTTTAACGCCCTAGCTATTCCTTCTGCGTAGTTGCTGCAGGGTCGGAGGGTGATGGTGCTATCGGCCGCCATCTTCCAAGGTCCTTATGCTTGGGAATGATGTACGCCGTTCCCAGTCTACCATCCGCTCGCCAAGGACCAAAGACATGCAGTCCTGCCTCCGTGAAGTCATCCTTACAGCGGGCCAGGAAAACAGTCTCTGACTCGATCGTGCCGACTTCGTGGTAGTTGGTGTTCCATAGAAAAGTCTTCCCAAAAGCATGTCTGTACAGAACCGGACAGAAGACAGCCGTGTCCCCTTGATTTCTGTCTACCGGCACCAAAACCAAGCCGCTTAGTCTCTTGCTCCATTTCTTCACCTCGACATCCGTCCAGGCCAGTGAGGTGTGCCTTCCCTCAACAGTGGTGCCCTCGGGGACAATAGGTATATGTGTTGTTCCCCGGATGTGCTTCATTGCGTCCCGAACTGCTTTGATCAGAGTGCCCTTCTTCAGTGTCATGCTAGCTCTCGTGATGTTCTTCGAGTTCCGTAGAAAAGTTGAAACGTCCTCCAAATCCGCAAACCTTGTCGCTACATGGCCCTCCACTTTCGGGAGATTGAAACTGTCACATTTTCACGGGAACTCCTCCTCGACTGCGAAGGTCTTTTGGTTATGCAGCAACTGTCCCACAGTCTTGTTCCTCATCCAGACCACTCGAATCCTGGTCTTCATGAAAGAAGCTACAGCACTGTCTCGTAGCTTCCCGCCAATCACTCGCTCGACCATTCTTCGAATCCCGTTCTTTCGTATGCAAGAGTCAAAGCATAGCTTCACATACACCTTCCTCCTTACGCCCGTACCTATCTTCTTCCTGATTGCGCTATCAATCTTCCAGCGAAGAGCAAGCTTAGTCTTCTTCTCTGTAAAACTACCCGCTGCTCGGTATAGCCCTATAAGCTTGTTCGTAGTCAGATTCGTCAGTTGTGCGACCGGTCTCGGGCGTCTGAGGAGTGATATGAGCAGCTGCTTATTCTTTTCTGTCGTTGTCTTCATCTTCACGATTCGCTGGAAGACTACAGTGCCTCCCTGTTGCAGTCTCTCCTTGGCGTGCCTGAGCAACACCCGTTCGTCGGCGATCCATAGCCTTGTGTCCCCAAAGACTCTTCTAATCGCCTTCCAGCCATCAATCCACACGACTCCCCTACTGAAAGTTACCACCTCATGCAAATTCCCCATACCACTCCTGGCATCTAGCCAACTATAGACAGAAGTAAACTTCATTCCCTGATTGCATCCGACTACCGTCTCCTTGACCCCGGTCAGTGCGGATCTACCCCTTCTTTCCCTTCGCCCTTTTCTCGGCTTTCTCCTTCTGCTAATTTCGCGCTTATCAATATCCCGTGAATTCAGACTAGGACAAAAATCTGCTATCAGAAATTTCTCATAAGCGTAGTCGTCTACACTCTTTGTGTGACGAATTGGTATAACTACATACCTTTCCAATCCAAATGCCCGCAGCCACCTGTAAAGGTGCGGTGTGAGACGCAGCGCATAGTTCCTGGCATTTCTGCAATGCTCCCGCCATCGTTGGATGATCGGTCTCACTGTGCAACCTACATGAGTCTTCCTCGACCAGGGACAGGCTACAACATATACCCCTGGGGAACTGAGATCCAGGAGTCTGCTCGAACCCTGCATTCTCAACAGGTATTTTTGATGAGCCACGGTATCAGTCCCCTTACTACCAAAAGGATCATAGTTAAAGTGATGACACATTCAACCTTCCTAGTTGTGTCACCATTAGCATTGAGCTCCCGCAGAACCGAGCGTTGGTTAAACCAATAGTTCAGTCTTTCCCATAGCTCGATATTCGAGGGAGCTCGACACCGTCAGTTCGAGCCTTCTTCTGGTTGCGCAGGTGCAGATCTTAGAATGATTCGGGGTTGCCCTCCAGCCGCCCGTTCATGCACAATGCGGTCCTTCCTAACCTCGGTCTCCGGCGTTGATGGAGCTCTCTCCTTCCCCTTCTTTCCCGCGCTTCCCTCATCCTCCTTCTCATCGATCCCTTTGTATGCCAACTCGACCTGCTGCCTGGTCAGGAGCTCGACAACCTCCGGTTTCCTTGTGTAACGAATGCCTTTCTTATCACATAGCTTACGAAGATCCGGCGCGCTCTTTCATGAATAGATCTTATGGGCAGAAATGCAGTACTCTATCAGCCCCTTCTGGGAGCATCCCGCCGAAATTCCCTTGTATCCTCCTGTGAGTGGCGTCTTCGGCTCATCCTCTCTGTCATCTCGGTCCTCCTCGTTTAGTCCCTGTTCCCCTTGTACTTTCTCGAGTATAACTGTCCCGTGGTTCGAACACTCGCCTCGTTTGAATCTCGGAGTAAGATCCACCGGCGAGACAACCTTTTTTCTGTTCGTCTGCTTTTCAACTCTCTTCTTAGTGCCGCGCTTCTTCCCCTTCTCCTTCTTGCGCCGACATCTTCCTTTGCTGCCTTCCTCCTCCGATGAGGATGTCGATACGGTGGAGACCGATCCGAATTCGGTCTCTGAGTAGGATTCATCACTTGAGCCGGAATACCGTCCCCTCTTGGATCTCTTTCCTTTTCGTTTGCTCTTCCTGTATTTCCGATTTCTATCGATCGGTGGTTCGTTATTCTTCGTGTTTCTTACCGCAGCGGTTGCTTCCTGCTCCCTCCATCGCCATTCCTCGTTCAGATCCATGCGCAACTGCAGTCGCAACTCTTCCATCTTCTTGGCAAAATCCTGGTTCTTTCGCAGTTCCTCTTCCTCCTTGGTCTTCTTTTCCTCCTCCGCCTTCCGCTTCTCCTCTAGCTCTTGTTTCTCCCGCCATGCATGTCTGTGATGTTCCTTAATTTCTTCTAACTTAGGATCCGGTTGGTTGTAGTTCTGCTGGTAGGGCCGTCCTCTCTTCGACCAACAATCGCGCGCATAGTGGCCTGGTTTTCCGCAGTTATAGCAGACCCCGACGGAATTAATCACAGCGTTGTTACCATTCGTGTACCCCCCCCCTCCTCCTCCTCCTCCTCCTCCTCCTCCTCCTTCGGTGCCCCCTTGGCCACCTTGGTGGGTATATCCATACCCCGTTCCTCCGTAGCTCACATTATTCCCCCCACCACCCGAACCATTGGTTAGATACATCTCCACCAGATTTCGTTCTGCCAGAGCTCTAGAATCGTATTGCGCCTACAAAATTTTAGTGGTTTTCTATGAATCACTTAACTGAGCAAAGTTAGTCACCAATTAACGATACAGGGCTTGCCGTGGCCCGTGTTCAATCTATCACACGCTCTCACCAAACTGATATCCCTCGAAGACAGAGCAAACCAATCCTCCTATTGCATCATGCGAAAGCCACTACATTTGTCAGATCTCAGCGATGTCTTCGGAGGTTACATTACCCTTACATCTAGCGGTCAGCAGAGTTCTCTCGATCAGGATCAAGGTCCGTGTGAGGTCGTCGTACAGTCTGCGCAGCATTAGCTCATTGTCGACACATCTAATCATATAAAATAGTGGTCTAATAGTAGCTTTCACGTGCCAATTCAGACAACGTATCAATTGAGACCGAAAAGAATCATCTCTTCTCCTAACCACAATTCTTCTTCGGCCGCAGGTCCTGCACCGGGTTGGTCGTCTACCCACCTTCATCCCGAGTCTCTTAGAGAGGAGAGCCTACTAACAACAGGCCGCAGCCAATAATCATCACACCTAGACCCACGATAATCGCCCTTACAGTACCTCGCACTCGATACATCGGGTGATCGATGGTTCAAAACAGTATAAGTAGCCAGCTTAAAACTCTACAGCGTATCCTTTCCGTAACATCACTCACCTCCCCACAGAAGTCCGAAGATGAGTGTCAACGTAGCCACCACCGTAGCATACACAGCTTACGGTTACTACGCGCCTACGAGTTGGCAAACTGCGGCCACACAGTCTTTGCAGCAACACAAAATTAGGACAAAATGTAAAACGAGTATCATCAGTTCATGTTCACAGAGTCCATAACCCAACTCTCCTCCTTCGATGCCATGCAAAACTCGATGCACCGGTGGAACCCCTCGACCGGTTTCACCCACGCCACCAACATAGGTCTCCTCAGGAGGGTGAACTCTGATGAGTTCGTGTGCCCGAAAAAGAGGAAGCGAAGGCCTTGCTTCCTCGTATAAATATCGTTCGTAATGCTACCGCTCACGAGTCAGCAGGCAGCTCGTAACAGCCAGAGTCAAGAAACCATGGAATCCAAGAGAATTGGTCGTCCGAACAGTCAGCTCCTCAGCCTAGCGTCTACGAATACTTGCCTATAAATATCATTTCCGAACCTGGCCAGTCTAGTGGCCCGGGCTACCCCAATGAGAGAGAGAGAGAGCTGGCAAGGCATGTGATACATGTGATACTTCTGTAGGATCTAGAGAGAGAGAGAGAGTAGTCTAAAAAAAAAAAAAAAAAAAAAAAAAAAAATCGCAATAGAGCAACATCTGAAATCTCCATTTTCGTTTTTCTTCTGAAAATTCGAAATTTCGTTGTTGAAAATCCGGAAAATCCTTCTTTTCGAAAATTTCGATTTCCTGTTGCATTTCCCGTTACTTAGAAATTCAGAATATCTTCTTTTTCAAAAATCGTTTTTCTGAAAACAGTACGGGGAATCCCTCCTGCAGGTATTATTTTCCAAACTGCGAATATTCTCATCTGAGAAAATCCGAATACTTGTCATTTCGTTTTGGAAAACTTTTTTTCGCAGTTCTAGGATTCTGTTAGTCAGTTCTATAAATCATTCGCAGTCTGAAGTCGATTTTTTTTTTCTCTCACTGATCATTTCGAACTTCAAAGGAGGCCGGGAGACCTACTGAACTTGCAAGTCATGACAGTGAGAGAAACTAGTCCCAGATGCTTATTGATCCTTAGAATTGGTTATTAACTTGTCATGCGGGAAATCCCGCTTGCAAGTCATGACAGTGAGAGAAACTAGTCCTAGTTTCTCTCACTGTCATACGGGAAATCCCAGATGAGCTCGCAACTAGTCCCACTACCACTGTACCCAAACTTGTAACAAGTTAATAACCAATTCTAAGGATCAATAAATTCCGCAATTAGTTCACTAACTGAACACTAGCCACAAGATTATGAACAACATCACCTGGGGCAAGGTCCCACTTGCACGGATTACGAGAATCTGGCCGTTGATCTTTGCTATCTACGGTCAATATCGCTTAATTCGTGTAAGTGGGACCTAGCCCCTGAGCAAGCTATCCCTTTGACAATTGCCTTTGATCCTATCAATAACACTGTCATGGAGGTCAGGGACCTCTCAGCCAAGTTTCATAAGTCTCTTCCCTTTTTTTTTTTCTTTTTTTTTTTTGCCACTGAAGGACTCAATAGGACCTCTTCACCTATATGGCGCCGGAAAAAAAACGTGGCATAACCTGTCCTAAAAGTCTCATAMAAGTCTGGGAGACTACAAGATTCAACCAATTCACAGTACTTTCTATGTTTGAAGAACTCTGAGAACCTTCACAGGGGACCTCGAATTAGGTGCCATAGAGAATCATATTGGCGTCTCCCAGAGACCTTGGGGTCTCATGGAGACTATGGGGCGTCATGGAGGCCTTGGGCCCATCAGCCAAGGCTCCAAAACAATCCCTTGTGCTGATGACTTGAGCATCCTTATCTTGAGACCCCATGTCTTAAAGAACGCACTTCGAGCGGCCCTCTGATTTGGAACTTTTGATCCTCCTCCAGTCCGCCCATATCAGGGAGCGAAAACTGAACAACTTTTGCCTCAGGGTCACATCGAAATTCCTTCACCAAATTTAGAAAAATATATATATCGTCAAATAGTTTTATTTTTATTTTTATTTTTATTTTATTGTTTTTGGCCCGGCCGGGCATTTGACCCCGGGCCTCTCTGGTATATGGTTCAGCCTCCTGATGAGTCAGACAGTGGAACTCTGATGAAACAGTCTGTCACAGCGCCTCATTTGTTGTCCTCTTTTCTGTCTCTGCCGTGCCGTTTACCGGCCAGTTCTGTTTGACGACATGTATATAAATAATGTACGTACATCATATCTGGCTGTA